CTTGTTTTTCACGTGTGATCTTCAAGCGTGTTGGATCTTCTCAGTGATCATCCACTCGGCTGGCGCTACTTTGTGCAATTCGAAAGTGCCTTGCACCTCTCTACCCCCGATGGACACACTGTTTTGCCCATGGCTCTGCGGCCTTGGTAACGTGGAGATGCACTGGTGCTCACCCTTGTAGTTCTCTTGACGTGTATGTAACGACGATGCCACTGCCAATCCCATGATTCTTTCCATCTGCGCCTGTGATTTCGACTTTCCCCCTTGAGACAATCACATGATTTCTTGGAGAGCTTGGCAGCACGCGGGTCGCCAGGTGATGTAACACCACTCTCGTCTTTCTCCATGCATCATCCCTGACACTACAGTTCCTCTGAAGACGACGAGGACGTTATCGTCATCCCAGACAGCAGCGATGACGAGCTGGATCAGCTCAACGCCCGACTCGCCCATCTACATGTGCATGGCCAGTCCAAGGCTTTCCTGTTACCATTCGCTAAACGCCAATTTAGACCCCACTCCTTCGCGACCACCGGGCCAGCCAATAAGGCCCCCATTCTCCTTGCTCCCCCCTCAAGAGCGTGCAAGACTCCTTGCCCGACCACCGCCCCCACCGCCCTCGTCGGCTTCCAGATCGGCAGCTCCGCCTCTACCTGCTGAGTCTTCACGGCCACCACGGTCTTCTCCTACATCCGCGCCCGCCATCTTTGACGCCCCGGGCAGCAAGAGCCAAAACTGCCCTTTATTATTACAAGACTCTCATGGAATCCGGCTCCACCACGCATTGGTCAGTGTCGTTTAATGTCGATAAACAAATGGCTTACGCTAGGCGTCTAGGCCCCAAGCTGCAGCTGCACAGCGTCTTGGCTTTGCCCAAGCCCTCCGCAAGAACAAGAAGAAGAGGCCTCGCAAAGGCTACGGGGCATACGCAGTTGTTCGTGGCAGTGAGATTGGCGTCAGAACTCATTGGTCATTCCTCCTCCTCTGTGTTTTTGAAGCGATTGCTGATATGACAATATAAGTAGGGCAGACGTGGAGCACCTCATCAAAGGATTTCGGTTTGCGCTGCAATTTGGCTGCAAGTCAACCAAGGAAGCGCACGCCCTCGTCGACTTTGCGCGGGCCAAATGATGGACTTCAACGGACCTGAACTTTGCGGCATGTCCCGTCGCTCCAGAATTGGTACCGTGGCCCTGTCTCCACGAAAAGGATCTCGACGGCCGACCCCCTCGCCAAACGGCTGACCCGTGGTACATTTGCTATGTCGGCATTCACCCTGGAGTCTTTTCCTCTTAGTATGTGTCTGTTTTGGGGGCTTATACAGCTGTTGACCGACCTCGTTAGTCTCGAGTGTGCCCTGAACACACTGGGGGTGCCGGACAACTTGCATGATCATCGCGATACGTTTGAGGCAGCCGTCGCCGAGTTTCTTTGGGCGCAGAAGGAGGGTTTTGTCCAGGCGTGTGTCGTATAGTTTGAATATCATCTTATCCATCTCGCAACAAACTGGTGGCTCAAACGATTCAAATTTCACTGAGTGAAACAATGGATACTTGGCAATTAAATATAGGCCGCCTTTTCCCGCCTTTTGGCCAAAAGCTCCGCGTAGGCATGAGCACCATGCGAGGCCACAAATGCACTAATAGGGTACCCAGAGGTTAGAGGCATGTTTGTTGGTAGTCTGTCCCATACCGTTCTCGCCACAGTTTAGCGCGTTCTGAAATACTGGCACTGTGCGCTCTCCGGTACTTGCGACTGGCATTTCTAGCTTTGGCTCTGGCCTCAGCAGCTGTGGAGTCATTGGCTAAGGCGCGTTCCCGACGCAGAGCCATCCGGAGGCGGGCTTTCTCTTTCAGCAAGTCTTCATTTCTGTGTTTTGGCGTTGGTGCGTGCTAAGCTCTATGTAATGGTCAACTCACTTATTACGATAGGTTGCGGCCGCTCGTTGGGCGGCAGGAGAGGCTTTGATGGGACGACAGGGTTTTATGCAGGACGTTCGGTTTGGCGGAGCACTCCCGGCGCCTGGTGCAACGGGGAAGTGGTGGCAAGAGGACATGAAGGTTAGGTCACGCCGCGGCATTACACCAAAGCTGATGTCAATGTACAGTGCAGTGAGGGCCCAATTCCTCACCGATCTGCCTCATTTCAAGTGGTACGGCTATATAAGACCCATAGCTACCGATCTAGAGCAAAAAAAAAATGCGGTAAAATTCGGGAGAGGCAAAGTGATACTCGGAATCACCTTTGCGCTATGTGAGTTTTGGCTCTATTATAGGTTTCAGCACATTTATGCTCATACCTTGCACAGCTACCCAATAACTCCAAATTATTACCTATATGGTACCTTGCACTGTCCTTGATGGCTTGCCCACGAAATCCGGGTCAAAAACAACAAGCAATGGTTCAATCTCGACGTCGCCATCGACGACCTCCGTGCCGTCAGTTCGCCATAGGGTGCCGTCAGTTCGCCATATGCCGCTACTAACTGCTCACTGCTCATGCGTTCCAAAGCTCAAGTTCGCGTCACTGCACTTCAATCGACATAGTTAATTCAAATTTGTATATAAGGCATAAAACTAAATGCTCTGGGTATGGGAAGGCGCTGGAAAAACGGACACCAGCCCAACTGAGCTTAACCTGAGTAAAATCTTCGAACCCGACGTATGTTTCCCAAATCTCATCTCCAAGCTCAACACGCGGTAATGGGGGCCGATACTGAGTCTGCCTGCAGGTGGGAACAGGGCATTCGAAGGAGATGTTGAAGCGCATGCGCGCGCAGACGAAGCAAAAGTTATGGCTACACCAGAACCTGCAGTAATATTCAGTGCATCGAAAGATGAAGGAAATATGCCGCACAGAACAGGGTGCAACAAGACCAAATGACAGGCTTCACACTGATGACGAGCTTCGACGTCAGCCAAGGGGGGACGTTCTTGAAATGGGTCCAGATAGAGAGACTCGCGTTTGACGATGATAGCAAAGGACGCAGCCGGGTCAACCGAGGTAAGGACACGTAAGGCAGCGTCCGCCGCAAGCCGATTCAGGAGCGCGGACTGCTCCCACTCTAACATTTGAGCCTCCTCATCGGGCGAAAATTGTTCAGTGGCTTCGCCAGAAATGCCTCCACCCGGTCGAATGCGAGGTGGTCCCGGAGACGCTCGTAGTAATGGATCGTCCCGCGGTCTCGAGCGCTTTGATCACTGCGTATGCCATTTGTTCGCGACATATCTCAGAAGTCGACTCCGATACTCGAAGATGCGCGTCCAGAATGGAAGATATCAGTTACAGTAATTAGTGCCTCGCTGAGTTCAACACGCACACGCTCTTTTGCGGGCGGCCGAATCACGGAACTTGGGATTGGTGTCCTCATAGATTCGGGCGGAGGGTTCGAGGCCGTGCTGGATAAAGCTATCAGAACATGAAACTGGGCTGGAGATAGCAAACATACGTGAGGGAGATTCGGGTGAGTGAGGGCTACGCGGGCGCCGTTGACCCGCCGCGTTCTGGGGAGTCGGCGGAAGATCTTCGTCGAGAAAGGGTTTGCCCTTGCTGCCTTGCAGACCTACGCCTTTGTCGGGAGTGGGTGGCAGGTCGGGCGTCAAGAAAAGGTTGGCCCTTCGTCCCGAGATCGGATGAAGCTTTTGCTATCATGAGCATGAGTGAGCAAACTGCAGATGGCAAACCAAGACAGACCACTCATAGGACAGGCTACGCGCGACCGTCTCGCCAATCCATGAGGTATAAGTAATTGACTTGCGCCAAGCACAAGTGATGGTGTGACCTGATGGTCACACCGGGTCGGAATCGACCTGCAATTCGCTGAACTGCTGATATCTACAGGGCCATGTCCTTTCTGGCGTCGCACAGGTCACATTCGACTGCTTAATATCTGTGATGATACTTGGGCTATGCTATAGCGAGCACGACACAGTTAATCAAAAACGAGAAAAGGTGCAAAGCGACTAGCGTCTCGGATAACACCGGTACCCGACTCTTCGTGCTCTGTTTATCCGGAGTCAGGTCCTAGCTCAGCTGTGGATTTATCAAAATGTCATGAACACACAACCGCTCAGTCGGCAAGCAACCATTTTCACATCTCAAATTATGACCACCATCTCGCGCGACGAAAAGCAAGACCGCCAGAACCAGACGGTCGCAGTGACTAGCATAGGTCAGCCCCGACCTATTCTCCTCTTCTCTTGCTCCATTGACGCCGTTCTTGAAGCGCGAGGCGAGAGGTTGACGAATAGCGACTACTTACAGGCCAGGCGCCACAACTTCATCCCTTTCTCCCTTCAAGTTAGCTACGACATCGCATGCCAATGGGCTTTTAATCGGGGCCGGCCTGCATTCCCTCGACTCCCGCCACTTTTCGTGCCACGCTGGCATGCACGCGCGCATTCGGACGCAAGACCTTACCAGCTTACAGCTCCTAATGAGGCACCGGCTCGCCAATTGAAGATCGATGGGGAGGCAGTCGAGCGCTGGGTAAGCTTGAAGGTGGTCTGAAAATGCAGCTCACTGTCTGATCATTCGACAGGCTGAGAAATCGCGGACGCTCAGCCGTTCCAAACTGTAGAGTAGATACAATCGTAGCCTACTACTGCCCTGCCCATCAGGCCCCCCCCCCCAAAAAAAAACCCTTTTTTTGTCGCAGCCACAAAACCGCTCTGTTGTTCCAGCCGAGACAAGCTCCACGGGTCTAGTTATTACTGATTACCCACCATCAATTCGCCACCATATGGCGCAATGATGCTAGGAAACCAGCTTTGGTAAATATTTTGCAATTTGTCATAACAAAGCGAATTCCGACGGTGAACTGCGCTGTGATGGGCAGACAGGGCCAGTATAGTATTCTCTGTCCTCGCGCTTTCAGGCAGGCGCACGAGGCGCACGAGGAATAACTAAAAGACAAAGAAACGCTGCACTCAGAACTGGAGTACTTGAAAGCGGACCGATCGTCCGATGCGTCGGGGTTTGATGTCCGGTGGATCACGTCAATGTCACACGTGTCCGCTTGGCACTCCTCCCTGACAACGTCCTCCTTTTTCATCGCCTCACTCTTGCAGGTGAGCGGTTATCGTTGTTTCCGCACGAGCTAATCATGTCTTCGCAGAAAAGCAAGAAGAAGCAGAAGAATACCTTCCGAGTGGGGGCTCTACATCGGACGGGGAGACACGGTGACCATGGGACTCATTTCCGCGCCAATGGCGAGGCTGTCGGGAGGCTCGTCAACGTCCAGCCTGCGAAACGTCCTCGCCTTGGAGTTAACGATGCTCTTGGGTCCTGGACACCGTTTACCGAGGAGGGATGGGCGCAGTCTGCTTCTTTGGCAGACGAAGTCGTGGTGGAGATCCCGCCCATAAGGAAACGGTATCTGAGCTCGGTAAGTTATGATTCAGCCTGAAAATGCTCACCGCTGAGTTGCTTGGGGTCAGGACAACCCAATGGCCGTATGGCGGAAACACAAGGCGAAGTTTCTGGACGAGTTACTTCGAGCTGAAGGTCTGGGTGGGGGCTTCCACATACCTACCTGCGCCCAGTGCGGACAAGAAGCCATCCGCTTTTTCAAGTGCCCTCACTGTGGCCAGTTTTTGCAATGCGAAGACTGTCTCAAACGGCGCCACGAACAACTCCCTCTACATCGTCCACAGGTGAGATTTCCAGCATGCGTTTTGAGGCTGTCTAAGCTAACGACGAGCCAGATGTGGAATGGCCTATTTTGGACAACATGTTCTCTGTACGACGACCCAGACGCGGATGTGCGCCTGGGAATGTGCTACCAACTCGGACATTACGATTTTCCTTGCGCGGCGCCAGAGCCCATGGTGCGAACCCTGGTCATTTTAGATGTCGGGGGAATCACCAAGTTAGATTGCCGGTAAGCCTGCCCACAATGAAGGTCAAAGCGTCGTCCGCTGAATGTCATAAAGTTTTTGTGGATGCTCTGAGAGTCTTCGCCATCGACACGGCCACATATCACAGCTGCTCGATGATAAGCCGCATTCTGGAACACACATAGGAAACCACTATTTTTGTTCGTTTCATGGTTACAGCGCACGTCTAGGAACTGGCATGAGTCCCGAATGGCCAGTTAGGGAGATATCTGCGAAGAGGCGTTTTGATTCGACCGTTGTTGATAGCAACTGGCCGTTCAGAACGACTCTTACAACAACCAAAAACAACAGCAGAGCCCAACCAACATAGAGGATCCATCCAATCCTTTATATATACCAAAAGGGAGTATAAACTAAAAGGCATATTCGGTCTGGCACGCGCTGGGACTCGAACTCAGAACGCTCCGACGAAGGTTCAACCAGGCTTCGAACGGATCAGTCCCTGACAGCATTGGAACGCGGTTTCGGACTTACGCAAGGATAAGGACATGTGGAGGTGCGGTTAAACGGGAAGCATGACTCAGTGGAAACGAGGGCTTGGCTGCAGATCGCGGCGACCTTAACCCGTAACCGTCCAACCGAACAACTCGACAATGGATTGCGATTATCTCGTTAAGAGATTTGCCTAACGGTGTCTGGCGGTTAACCTCAAGTCATGGATATTGATGGAAAGCTAGGAAGTGGAGCAACACGACGATAACAACAACGGTTAGCGGACCGTTCACAAAAACGCATAGACGGTCGCAATAAAGGAGGATTTACAAAGGTCATTGACACCAAACACGCGCTACCGGTCATCTAGACCTGGATTTTCGACTCTGGGCCTTATGGCAAAACGATACCTTACAAATTATGCACATGGACCATCATTCTGTTGTGGCGATTTACCTGATCTTATCATTTTCTGTTTTAGTATTTATATCTCTGTCCTGTATTTGAGCGATTTACGGATTGCCCCGCGTTACTAGGTGCATCTGGGGATCTAGCTTGTCAATATCATCCTGCTAGCTCTTTCATTCAAGTAAAAAGGCGTTGTGATCAAAGAGTTGAGGGTTCCGGTTGCCGTATAAGAGAGTTTCGGTTGGAGTACACTTGGTTTCGGTTGGCGGTCGAGAGTTTAAGGCAGTTAGTTCCTGACTTGAGACGACTCCTTGGGTTTAAGGCAGTTAGTTCCTGATCCAAACGAGTATAAACGGTTCTGGGCATCGTATTGGCGCTTTCCTATTGCTGGATTTCGTCGATAGTACGCTTAAGGACGACCACAAAACAAATCTTTAACAAGATTTCATTCGATCTACCCTACAACCTTGCACACCCGTGTACAGGCTCTGTTCCCAGGGTTCTGCACTTGTATTAGGAGATGGTTATTGGTGGTTGTTGGACGTTTTGGAACGGTGTTATACGGTTATCGCTCAGACAGAACGACTATTTGTTGTTTTGTTGTTGAGTTTTAGTTGTGTAGTGTCGGTCTCATCTCCGGTCTCCCCACCCGTCATCCACCCTCATCATCTCGATAATGCGTGGTATCCGGCGACAATTTCGAGTCCATCGACATGCGCGACATTCGAACTGCTCGACATGTTCCGACTGCTGAAGGTTGTGGGGAATGTCACCACCCACGACCTTGTTCGCAGCCTGGAGCGATTGAGTAATGCGACCTTGACAAGAAAAATGCCTGTAGGTTCCTTTCTTTTTTGCGTGAAGAGGCGCCACTGACACGTATGGTGAAGGACCGCTATAAATCTTTTCTTCGAATGTCAAGACAATACGACTATCTCATCAGAGCTAAACGCGCTGGCCGGGGACATTGTCCTAATGGTCTTCAAACCACTGGAGCTGGGGGTTTGGCCGTACAATGCTGGGCTTGTCCAGATCCCGAACGTAATCTACCGGAGGGGTGGCAAGACGCTCCCCAGAGCGACTCGTGAGTACTAGTATCTCATCTCATACGCAAATGGGCTAACTAAGAGCAGATTCCTCTATGCATTAATGCTCACCATCGACGCCAACTTTAGGCTCAAAAACCGCATTCGGTCTAACGAGCGTGATGACCCGTCGCTATGTGCGGGCCAGGGCTATTTCGTTCTCAACGAGCCCTACAAGCATCATCTGCGTAACTACGTGGCTGAAGAGGATGTACGTGGCGTCACTCTCGAGAAACAGACTTATATTAACTGTCTCGTCTCAGACGAGGCACGTGTATTGCCTTCCAAGCCCTCATGCAAAAAGAGACAAAACTTACAACTGGGCTACGTGTATCCGGAGTCGGCGGGTGTGTTTGCGCGCGACATGGAGTAGTGCGACCGCTTGGTTTGGGGGATCTCCAGAAGGGAGAACGGCAAGTCTTGACTCAGTTTTTTTGGGGGGAAGTGGTACTAATTTATATTCATTCAGTTACGCCAATATGGATTGGGTAGTGCTATCCGCTCTGCGCTGGACCACCGTACGGCGATTGGTGTTATCCTACGACATCGCTTATCAGTGGAAGCAGCGTTTGAAACTGCGGGCCAAGGTTTTGGTGAAGGGCGAGGAAGAGCGGGTCAAAGACTGGGCCATTGACCACGGATGGAGTAGCAGCAGCAAACAAGGCCCCGTTCCCTTGGGCTGGGTCGAAGGCCATCGGCACCGACCTCGATAACTATGACATCCAATTTGCACTCCCCGTTTGGCACGCAGCAGCAGCGCACGAAACAAGCTGCCAGGCGGCAAATTCTTTGAGCCATGCCGTTGGTGTTGGGCGTACCAATGGGAAGGCATCGAGAGAACGTGGGCTCTTTTGAACCCAATCGGATATTCGACGAAGGAGATGGGGGAGGGGAGCCGACATGATGTGATCGAAGAAAAGGTCGACTATTTGAACTTTGAGAAGAACGTGAAGGAGGGTATGTCTATAATCCAGTTATTTGTCACGGACGGAAACTGACCTAGAGCCAGGGGACACGTTGGCGAGGAAGATGATCATCGCAATGGCGGAACGTGACAGGCAAAGGGAGCAATTCGAAGAGGTCGATGTCAGCCTGACCCCGGCAATGCGGACGGATTGGCAAGGAAGACTGGATCGTTGGAATGCCAACCCATCTGCTCCGAATCCTTATGTCCTCGATGGTAATCAAGGTATGCAATCGATATAACTGTTAGATGGTAACTAACCAAGGAGAAACAGGTCGGTCGGAGGCACAAATACTTGCCGATTTGAAGCGCGCCGAACTGGAAGACCTGCGAGCGGGACGTCAGGCTGCGATGCTCGGAGACATGACTGCTGTCGCATTCATCAAGGCGGCCTTGCAGCTGGAGGATATGCAGTGGGTAACATGCAAATGGCAGGCGGGAAAATTACTAACGATTTATCGCAGGCGACGCATCACTGCCGAGGTCAAGGAATCAACCAACTTGACTGCTGAGCGCTCAAGTCAGATTGACGAACAACGAGCATCGTTCTACAAGAAGCTTCATAGCTGGGAAACACATCAACGGGTATTCATGCCGGGGGTTGGCGCCTTACGCCTGAAGGAGGAGGAGAAAAGGGAATCCTGAGGCGCCACCTCCACTGGCCGAAGAAATAAAACTGTGGTTACCGTCGGATCTTACTGCAGAAGAACGGCGGCTGGCTTGTCGGGCAGGACTGGCGGAGACGGAATCGAAACTGTGGCAGGGACAATGTGCAGACGCGTTGGACAACCTGCGCGGCCATCTACAGAGCAAGATGCACATAATCGATTACCGAAACGCTAATGCTGTGGGGCAACGAAGCGTCAACCCGGTCCAATACGGTCATAACTCGGATTAACGGACATGTGAAGCGGGAAACGATAAAGTATAGGACAGCATACGAGGCTGGTCAGCGTTTGGAGGAGGGTTTTGCCCCGGAGTTCCAGACGCTGAAGGATGAGGATATACGGGTAATGGGCGAGGTGGAAAGCGATGCGGCAGCAAGAGCAGCTTTAGGCCGAGCGGGAACCAATCGACGTCTCAGAAATGAGCCAGCAATACCAGAACGACCGATTCCTGTGTCCTGGATTTGGAGGGGCTCTGGGCCGCAAGGTCTACATGATTGTGAGTAAGCTTCTGGCGGAAATCACCATCGTTGACTGACTTTTATATAGCTCTACGTGTGCAATGGACAAAGGCGCGAGCTCGGCGTGACCGCTGGACGGAGGAGGTCAGGTTGCTAAGGGAGGAAATGCGGAGGGTGTTGCGGAGCCTGAACGCAATGCAGGAGGAATGTGCGCAATGCAGGTGGATGTAGCACTAGACGAAGGGCTGAAGGCCTATGCGCGTCACCAAGCAGCCGTATATGGGCGGATTTCCGCCAAATTCCAAGCTCGATGGAGTGCGTCGGCAGCGGAGGGCGTGTGAACGGTGCTGGATGAGGGGCGGGAGCATGACGCCGAGGAGGAGGGCGAGGAGGAAGCGGATTGGGAAGATGTGGGTGCGGACGTAATCAGAGCTAGATAGATAGATAAGGCGGGTAATCGGCGATGTTAGATAATAGAGAATTTGGATCAAATTTCCACCATCTGATATGTGAGGCGGTGCGGAATGATGCGATGATGGGTCGGTAGAATATTGATGGCTTGGAACTATCGGTGATGGCATCGGTGAACGCTCACGGGTCACTCGAGGGTCACAAGCCTGGCCCGCAATAGGGCAGGCTATTTGACGAGGGGGACAGTTGTCAAATGTCCCTGCAGAGCCCATCCCTGCACGGGCAGGCGAATTTGACAAATGGTCTGCCTGCACGGGCAGGGACATTTGTCAAATGTGCACAGCTACGGGTGCTCGAGTGCGCGGACATGGAAGAGTTCAGGCCGCAGAAGGACGACATCGGAGTTGTCGGAATCGACTCCGTGGTCGGGTCTCCGGGAGAGGGCGTCAGGTCGACCCATGTCGCGGCCGGGCTTGTGGTGCAGCGTGAAATCGAACCGGGAGAGGTACAGGGACCACCGGGCCTGTCTCCGGTTGAGGTGCTGCATCTTCCTGAAGTACTCCAAATTCTTATGGTCAGTCCAAATCTCGACAGGGTGCGCGGCGCCCTCGAGGAAGTGTCTATACTCCTCGAGTGCGCGGATGATCGCGAGCATCTCCTTGTCGTGGATTTCGTAGTTGCGCTGGACATCATTTAAGCTTTTGGAATAGAATGCTACAGGGTGCCACTTCCCGTCCGGGGCGGATTGTGAAAGAACCGCCCCCGTCGCATAATCAGAGCTGTCCGCCTCAAGTCGGAAAGGCCGTGCGTCGTCCGGAATCGCCAGGACCGGTTCCGAGGGGACCGCGTCCTTGATCGCTTGGAACGCGGAGGCCTCCGCGTCGCCCCAAGTCCACTGCTGGTCCTTCTTGGTGAGCACAAAAAGAGGGCGCGCAAGGGTCGAGAAGTCCCGAATGAACCTGCGGTAGAAATTAGCGAACCCAAGGAACTGCTGAATGTCCTTCTTGTTTTCTGGAGTCGGCCAAGCGGAGACGCCTGCGACCTTGACAGGGTCCATTTCGACGTGGTTATGGGAGATGATGACTCCGAGGTACTCGATTGACAATTTTTCAAAGTCGCACTTCTCCGCTCGGAGGTACAACTTGTGCTCTTGGAGTCGCCGCAAGACCTCCCTGAACGATCTGCCGGTGTTTCCGGAGGTCGGAATGGGCGATCAGGATGTCGTCAAGGTAGATCATGACATCTCTGGAGAGGATGAGGTCCTGGAAAATGTCATTCATCATCGTTTGGAACGCATGGCTGCGTTTCCGGTCGCCGTTGAAGGTGAACGGGGGTTTGGTCGCAAGACCAATTCACCTGTGTGTCCCGGTATACGCTGTGAATTGTTGGGTCCACCGCGGCGGGTTGGACCCGACAAGCCACGGTGTTATCGTTCATGGCCATACAAATGAATAATTGTTGGTTAAACTAATGAATAACTTTGATAATTTTAGGGTCCAACACCATTTTCAGCGCCCAAGTCAGAGGCATCGTGTCTTATCAGTAGCACCATGCTACGAATAATTATGAATACTAAAGGTCATTTATTTTCTCCATCTACAACTACCTATATGCTGCGCAATCTATAACTCAGTGACATCATCAACCAAGTCATCTAGCAAGTTCCCTCTCTCTCCTCGATCAAGGCCTATGACTGACAGTCGATAGGCTAAGCCAGACGCTGTTTGAATATCATCATCATCCCCTTCCTCCTCCATCATACCCCGTTCATCATCTTCCTCTCCCATGTCCTCGTCGTTCATTTCCACATCTATCACTTGATCTACTCCCGCAGCGCTTCCAGCTCGAAGACTCCCTGTAAATCGACGGCCGTATTTACGTCGAAGGGCGCGGAACTTGGCAAGGTGGTTGGCATCATAAATGCTTCATCGTTCTCGATATATTCGGACTTATGTACGGCGAGCGCAACATCTCCCGCTTCTCGAAGGTTGTGCTCGTGTTGGGAAAGAAGTCGGTTCTCATCCCGAATCCAAGTAACAACTCGTTGTATCTCAGCGTTTAGACGTTTGATCTCTTCCCTTGCCCGCTCCATCTTGAAATAGCGGTCCATTAGGAGACGGAAAGGCCGTGTTGCCCATTTTTCACCTTCGAGTGAGTTGGTATCATCGCGGAGGAGGTCGAAGTCGGATAAGAACGCATACTCCACAACATCAGTCCACGGCAGGCTGGGCTTGGGAGGGATCATCGACTCCGCAATCTTGTTGTAGCGTTCGACAGCAGTTCTCACCGCCGTGGACCGGGTTTGCAAGGACTTGGCAATGTGTCTGCATTGTTTATAACCTAAGATTTGTAAATGAGACTGATTGTAGCAGCACGGCCAACGTACATGTGCCAGATTGATTAATCTTTGTGAGTTCAAGCAGTCGTTGAATTACCAATAACTCCATGTTATCGATGGCCTTCCGATATTCGAATCTTCGCGTCTCGTCGACAGCTTCGATCCACTCTGGAGACTCTGGTGTCCAGCGTACAGGAATCTCCAGGTCGGCCTCTAATGCCTCCACGGCCTCAGTATCCCGATGAAGTCGGTCCTGAGCATGTCGAATACTAGCTGCAGTTTTGTCTGAGTTGGGGCGGTACGGGGCATCGGGACGATTGGCCATTGTCCGCTCTCTCCTGAGCGCCACGAGTTTTGACCTGGGCCAGTTTGTTAGGCGTATGTCAAATGCATAAGTCGGCACTCACTTGCTCTCTTCAAGCCGCTGTAGTTTGCGCAAGTATTCCATCGAACCAGTTTCCGTCTTGTCCTTTGAATTTGCACGAAGCATTGCGAGATACTCTTGCTCCCGAATGAGCGCCTCCTCAAACTCCTTTGTGTCGTGTATCAGTACATATAGCTACATCTATGCAAAAGATGTGGGTATCATCCCAAGGGGGTAATGCAAAAGATGTTGTGACAGATGTATTTCATGAATTTCTCACTGGAATCAAGAGATATGACTAATATAAAAATACATATAGGAAGATAAATCACCTTTTCTTTGGGCCGAATATTCGTAATATTATATTTGGGACTTATAAGCCCAGGGACCAAAAAATTAATAATCGATTAAGTAAGGTTGATGTAGCAAGATGCAGTCATCAAAAGCTCTGATGGCAATCAAAAATCGTTCCACATTGATCAACATACCTATATGCCATTGATCCAATCACTGATACCTTGATATAGCAGCCACAAACAAGAAAACAGTGTTATTTAATTTAATTTCCAAGCAGTTGCCCTCATCTTTTGCATTACCCCCCCTAGGATGCTACCCACATCTTTTGCATAGATGCAGCCATATGAGCTGCGTGTATCTGCTGCCGCGCCATCGCCTCTCTAAGGTCATCTTCACCGTCGAGGATATCCAGGGCTTGAATGTAGTTCTTGCAGAGAAATGTGCCTATAGAACGTCAATTTTGGATCGCGTCACTGCACAGATGCTCCACCCACTTAGATTCGCGTAAGTCTCGGCGTTGTCGGTGTATTCGAAGTACGACGAAATCTCTTGCTTCCAGTGGAAAGGAGTTGCGTATCTACATGCATTGGCCAATGCATTAGAGCGAGAGAATGCCCGTTCGCAGCCCTCGAAGTCTTCGAGGCCTGCGCCTTTGACATAGAGCGGGAGATTCGACACCTGGCAGGTGCGGTTATGGGCGTGGCCGTGAAATAGTCCAACGATGCATCTGAGCTCAGCCTCTTCTGCCTCTGACCCCAGATTGCTTCGTGCAATTGTCGTTGCAATGCTGCAGCCGATGTCGTATGCGAGTAGGTTTTTTTTCCTAAATACTCGAGTATAGTCTTGGTGACCGCTAATGGATACTTCGATCTAAAACGCGTTAGGAAAAAGAGCAAAATGTAGGAGAGCAACGGACAATTCACCACTTTTGATCATCTCGACGATGACTTGTGAAAACCCATGCCGACAAAGGCAGAGAAAGATCCCCGTTGTCAGACTGCGGGTCGGGCCGTGCAAGGACTTCTCCTAAGAACGCGCGCCCGGAACAGAACAGACGGATAGTCGGGCCCGCAAGTACGGGCGGGCGGGATAGATCGAAACCGAAAGGG